CCCCATGTCCCCCCTCCTGGTGGCTCTGGGCCCTCCCGTCCCCCCCAGCGTCCCCGCTGTCCCCTCACCCCATAGGTGTGTGGCATGGTGGGCAGGAAGGTGCCACCGCTGCAGGTGATGATGTCCCTCATGAGCTCGGGCTCAGGGTGGACGCTGGGGGTGACGTGGACCTCGTAGCCCTGGGGACAACATGGGGGGGACACATGGAGGGGACATGTCCATCAATCCATCCCTGAGCCCCTGGAATGTCTCCTGGGGGACAAGGACACCTTGGGGTCACAGGGAACATCTTGGGGAGAGTGTGAAGACACCACGGGACACCAAGGGACATCGGGGGACACGCCCGGGGGGCTGTCCCCAAGTTCAGCATGCTGGATTGAGGCCACATGGTGGGGGACACGCACAACTTGGGGGACCAAGGACACTTTAGAGGACAGGGCCACCTCGGGGACACTGTGGGGACAACAGCAAAGGAGGGGACACCCCTCTGGCCATCCCCAAGCCCCCCCGCCCTGATAGGGACTGAGGCCACATGGGCAGGATCCAACTCAATGGGGGACAAGGACACTTAAGAGGCACAGGGCCACCAGGTGACACTGGGTGACCATCGGGTGACACCTCCTGGCCACCCTGCACCGAGTCCCCAGCGGGTGCCCCACTCGGCGTGGGGACAGGGCCACCCGTGTGGGGGGGTCAGGGCCCCTCAGGGAGGGTTGGGGACAGTTGGGGACGGTCACCTGGAGCAGGGGGTGATGGCGGGCGCGGCGCAGGGCCTCGGCAAGGCTGAAGCCGAAGTGACGTTCCTGCTGGCTGTCACGCACCAGGAAGGGATCCGGCACCAGGATGTGGCCACTGAGGGTGCTCTGGGGACACGGGGGACACGTGGTGGCACCTCTGACTCCAGGGACCCCTCCCAGGTCCCTCCCATTCCCAAACGACTCCTCACCCTTGTCACCCAAAGCCCCCTTGTCCCCAAACGCTCATTCCCCTTGTCCCCCCCCCAACCCCCATGTCCCCATCCTCTGCCCCCAAGGACACCTTCATTGTCCCCAAACACCCCTTCTTTGTCCCCAAACACCACCTCTGTCCCCAAGGACATCATCCCCTGTCCCCAAAGACCCATCCTTTGTCCCCAAGGAGCCCCTGTCCCCAAGGACCCCTCCTTTGTCCCCTAGAACCCTCTCCTTTGTTCCCAAGATTGTCCATGTCCCCAAAGACCCCATCCCTCTCCCCAAGGCCTTTGTGCCATGTCCCCAAGAAATCTCCCCTTGTCCCCAGAATCCCCAGGGACCCCCATAACCACAAGATCCCCCCTTCCTGTCCCCAAGAACTCTCTCCCTGTCCCCAAGTCCCCTCTCCCCTGTCTCCCACCCCCATGGGACCTTGTGGAGCCACTCAGGGGTGACGATGGGAACACCGCGGGCCACTGCGCAGAGGAACTTGACCGTGCGTCGGACGCGGTCAGTCACCAGGTGGGTGCAGTCGAAGACGGAGGTGGCCATGGACCCCCCCAGTGTCCTCAGGGCCACCTCCATCTCTGGGGAGGCCGCCACCCCCGTGAACAGCACCTGGGGATGTGGGGACACCATGAGGACGTGTTGGGGACACCCCCGGGGAGGCCACCACCCCCATGAACGGCACCTGGGAACACAGCAGGGGGACCATGGGGGGACACAGGGACACTCAAGGGTGACATTGGGGGACACACACAGTACCTTGGGGGGGACGGAGCCCAGCCCCCCCCGGGGGCGGAGCTGGGGCCCTGTGACCTCTGGCAGCTCCTTCTCTTTTTCCTGGGGGGTGAAGCCAAGGCATGAGCCACCACCCCAACAAGCCCCACCCAGTCTCATTAAGCCACACCCCACACTGGTCTCCACCAATCAGCAGCCAGCAGGGGTGGGGCCTGCCTCACACAAAGGCCCCACCCATCCAGTGCAGATCCCACCCGATGGTCCCTCCCACACCCCATACTCTGCCTCCACCCACCCATCATATACACGCCCACCATCCTTAGGCTCCACCCACAGAGAAGACTCCACCCACCACCTACCTCCCCAGCCACACCCACCTGAGCTTGCCGCTGCGATGGGCCACGGCCTGCCCGACAGGGGCGTGGTTTGGCAGGGGGGCGTGTCTCCACCTGACCCCGCCCCTTCATGGCTGGCGGCTCCAGCGGAGGGGGGCGGGCCTGGAGGCGGGGGCTGCGCCGCACAGGGGCGGTGACAGCAGGAGCTCCGCCCCTAACCCTGCTGGCTCCGCCCTCACCAGAGGCTCCACCCCCTCGGCTCCTGGCCAGGCGCTGGCTGCGGCGGAGCCCCTCCCCCACCTGGGCGAATTTTGGGGGGGGGAGGGTGTCAGTGCCCGGGCGCCTGGGTCCCCTTGGGGTGGGGGCACCCAGACGCCTGGCTCCCCCCACACTCACGTCCTCGCTGGGGGCTGCTGCGGTCCCTGTCCCCTCCTGGGCC